CCCTTGTCCTTCAGGGTTACCCACCAGGGGCTCTAGTCCTACAGAGCCTATTTACAGGTGGTGGCAGCTATTACTCTGCAGAACCGTCCTTGGTGCTCAACAGCTTGTTAGAGGAACCCCCTTTGAGGCCATAAGTTCTGGTTGAAGATGAAACAGCAGCATGGTAGGCTCCATGGGCATGTAAGCAATCTGCGTGTGGAATTTATTTGTTCTTTCAGAGCTTGATGGAATGCTGGAAGGTGCGCTCAACTTTGTTTTTACTTTTGTTGTAGATATTGGATCTCTGATCTGTAGAATCTAAAACTCGAGTATCTTCTTCATAAACTCTGTTATCTGATCCTCCTAGACACAATTTCTGGAAGAAATATCCCTTGCTAAAGGGAGTAAAGCCTTTCTTCAAAACCTAGGAGCTTTTATTGCAATTCTCTTATTAGGAATTGTCACAGGCATCGTTCAACATCTGGACCTGCCTCAGTCATTGTATTATCTGGTCAGCTTGGCCTGTGAGGAGACCAATATATTCATGCGCACAGATGTGTCAAACACATATACCCTGTGTTTGAAAGGTCAGAAGACCAACTTAAAGCTTTTGTATTGTCCCTTCTTTAGTCTTAACTCTACAGACTCAACACTAAACTTACAGTGTTGAAGTACACATGATTATGTCATGACATGTCCAATTTATTCTTTCTACAAATGTTCATATCCTAATTGTATACTAAGTTACCTTACTGCTATATAACCTTATTTTTAAAGGCTCCTTGAAACAATTATTTACTCTTTTTTTCTTTGAAAGAAAGAAGGAGAAGCAGGAACCCTAGAGAGTAAAATAGCTAGGCAAACTCTTTTCTAGTTGTATAATAGAAAACTTCCATTATTTGCAAGGTAAAGCTTCAGCTGAGAATCAGTATTTTCCTTTTAATGCTTACACTAGGAAGAAATAGGAATTTTAAGGTTAGTGTGGTTTTGTTGTTAGAAATCTCTTCCTATAAAAAACATAAGGCACATTACAAACTTCCATTGACTCGTAACTAATGTTTATTTTAGCTTCAAGATTAAAAGCAGTTTTTCACCATTAGCAAGAAAATGCATGTCTCTAACTTTACTCTGAATGCATGTCTCTAACTTTACTCTGGTACAACGTGATACAACTTCCTTCAGTATTTTGTTGTAGTGGGAAAAGAGATTATTTTTTTCTTTTATTTATGTAGACAGAAATGGAGCCTACTTCCTGTGTCAGGAGCTCTTCCTCAGGTAAAAGACTTATTTTTATTTTGTGTCACTTTGGAATGTTTGGAGACATTTGAAGACCCAACTAACAGCAAGTTAAACTTAACAGGAAGTCTAAAGATATAAAATCCATAACAGGCAGATATAGGGACTCAAAATATTATTAAAAGCCCAGATTCTTTCCATCTTTCTGCTCTGTTATTCTTATTTTGTTGACTTTGTAATCCTCATACTTGTTTCCTCACATCTGTAGGATGGCTGCTACAGCTCTAGGCATCAAAACAGTGCTCAGAAAGTAGAGGGAAGGGGTTTGCCATTAAGTTCTGCTCTTGCATCTATCCCTGTTACAAGGATTCCATAGAAATCCTCCCAACAGACCTCTGTTTATTTTTCATTGTCCAAAATAATATCAAAATGTTTGTTTTTTCTGTTTGATTTTAGTAGTTAATTTTGGATACAAAGCAGTACAAGAGGCTGGCCACACTTTCCTACTTCTTTAGTCTCAGAGTTAGGAGGAGGAAAAGGTGGACATACAGACATATAATTGGTTCAGTACTCAAGAGTGGGATAAATATGGTTAGCTACCAGACTCTCAGTTTGCAAGAAAGTTGGGAAGTTCTGACTGGTTTGCGCCCCTGATGCAGGCCCAGCTCTTCACAGTGTTCAGCACCCTAGTTTCTCCTTTCCCAAATGAAGAGGACTTCTATCCCACATGAGTCATGGTCATCTCATTTACATTTTCTGAACCCCACCTCAGTTCTCCTTTTAGCTAGAGGTGGTCATACCCTGCACAAGGCTGGGTGGAGGGCGAAGGAGTTTGGTTAGCAAGAAAGGAAGGAAATGGTACCAGTGGCTATCACAGTGTCCTTTTCACTTTATCTATTTCACACTGTTAAGTTTGCTTTTAAATGGTTTTCTGTCACATCTATGTATTGATGCTTACAAGCTGGCTCCTTTTATTCATTTTCTGAAAAACAAATCTGACTTCATCATTAGCTTTCCATTTCCTTAGTATCGGTTACAGAAATGGTCATGATTGAACCCTTGCACACCTTTCCAGCATTTTCTCTTCCAAGTTGCCTGCTTGTTTTTTTATGTTCTCTCTTTTAGCTGCATCTTTGTTCTATTGTCTGCCTAGACTATCTTCCCTCATCCACTTCCCTCTTCTCTTCCTTACAGGTCAGTTTCTCCTTATCTTTCGAAACCGATGCTTCAGGAAGCTTTCTTTAACACCCCGTCCCCTCTTAAGCTCCAGTATTTTTCCTCTGTGCTTCCAGAGCACCTGGTGGGAGTCCTTGGTGCTGCCTGTATCTCTGCATTCTGATTTATTTGTTTATATAATCCATCTATCTTTTGGTACCACACTGAGCTTTTTGAGATTAGGGACTATCTGACTTACAGTCCCGTGATCTGTAGGAGATGTTCAAATTGTGTGGGGTTTTTTTGTTGTTGTTTGCTTGTTTGTTTGTTTTTAAAATAAATTTATTTATTTTATTTATATTTTTTTGGCTGAGTTGGGTCTTCGTTGCTGCGTGCAGTCTTTCTCTAGTTGTGGTGAACCGGGGATACTCTTTGTTGTGGTGCGCAGGCTTCTCATCGTGGTGGCTTCTCTTGTTGTGGAGCGTGGGCTCTAGGCGCACAGGCTCAATAATTGTGGCTTGTGGGCTCAAGAGCGCAGGCTCAGTAATTGTGGCGCACGGGCTTCGTTGCTCCGCGGCATGTGGGATCTTCCTGACCCAGGGATCAAACCCGTGTCCCCTGCACTGGCAGGTGGATTCTCAACCACTGCACCACCAAGGAAGCCCCAAGTTGCTGTTTTTAATGACAGAAAAGATGGTAGGCTTGATGGATGACTGGGGTTCCATACAAAAAAAGATCTAGTCCTGTATCCTAGAAGGTCAGGATTAATTTGAGGTATTTCACTTTCTCTTGTTTCTCAGAACTTTAATGTTTTCTGACTTTAATTTAGAAATGAGTTGTGAGTAAAAGATAGGGCTGAAGCAATAGAGCTTTACAAACAAAAGTTGTTTGGCAGGATTGACTCTGAGCTGTACAGAAAGCTCGTTGGTACAAAGCCAACCTGATAACCACTGTACTTTGGCAATGACCCACTGAGCTGTGCACACAGAGCTAGGCCAGCAGTCTTTCTTTTCTTCTGGTTTATTCTTTGGGTTAGCTACAGCTTTAAATTCTAAGAACTGAAAGCCCCTAATTCAGGTCTACATAGGCACATGTACCCGCCAGAAAGCAGTCCATTGTAAATCATCACTTAATGAACACTCTAAGTGTTGCCGAATGAGGTCGTATAGACCCCTGCTTGGGCCCTAGGCTGGCCGAGGGCCCCTGCCTCAGTGGGGAAGGTTCTTTTTCTGCTCAGGTTCATGCAGCCAAAAAACAAAACTGAATCAGAGATTGAAGCAGCACAAGCTTTATTCAATGGCCAGAGAACGGAGAAGCAGGAACTTAGTTCACAAATAACTGCTCACCTGGGGGACAATTAAGGCAAGATTTTAAGGGCAAGGCTAATGAAGAGAAGGCATGTGCACTGGTTTTCTGGGAATAGGCTGGATTCTTCCTGGAACTGGGGTGCCATCTCTTTTCTGCCCTTGTATGGTCCTCTAGCATCTGGGTAGGAAGCAGGTCGAACCATCTTGGTGCAGACAGGCAGAGATCTTACTATAACAGTGAGATGGTAATGAGCTGCAGGGGGACCTTCGTCCCACTTTTGAAGCTCAACCAGCTTGCACCAGTTTTCTTGTAGTTAGACTCTCTTATTCCTGTGCTGTGAACACAGCTAGAGAGTATGGTTAGTTGTGGTCTTCTGTAGGTTTACCTGGAGGGAGGAGCAGGGGTAGGTTCTGGGGCAACAGCACTGGTAACATAGCAGCTAAGAGTAAGTCTTGTCAAGATTGCGTTTTGCCTGTTCTTCACACTAAATCCTTGATTCTGATATTTTGCTATAGGTCACTCAACCCTAAAACACCCTGATGTGTAGATACAAAGAGGAGTTATTTACTTCTGTATTTGAAAGGATGATACAGGGATTGAGTTAGGATGGTTAATCTCATTCTGAGGAATACTGAATATATCACTTACCCTACAAGGTATTTAAATGCAACAACTGTGACCATCACAGGATGGGACTCTGATATCAGAATTAGGTGATAAACCTAAATCAACGTTAGGAAGGAAGCCTTCTATTGCAGTCTAGCCCAGATTCTTTGACCTCCAGGTACTGTTGCTGGCCCTCCGTAGTACAGAAACATTGTCTCACACTATCTGTGGTGAGAATGCAGAGTACCGTTTTAGAGCTTTCATTATTTAGCTGAAATCCTTCCGTTGGACACAATCAACCCTAGTAGTTGGTCTGGTTAAAAAGAAGTGAGGTATCCAAATTATGTTTTTTTTTTTTTTTTTTTTTTTTTTCTGTACGCGGGCCTCTCACTGTTGTGGCCTCTCCCGTTGCGGAGCACAGGCTCTGGACGCGCAGGCTCAGCGGCCATGGCTCACGGGCCTAGCCGCTCCGCGACATGTGGGATCTTCCCAGACCGGGGTACGAACCCATGTACCCTGCATTGGCAGGCGGACTCTCAACCACTGCGCCACCAGGGAAGCCCCAAATTATGTATTTTAAACATTTTTAAACTTAAAATACACAGCTGTCTATTCATTTTCTAATTTTTTGAGTGGAGAGCACCAAGGCCTTGTTCTGAGTATAGGGCCACTGTATGATTTTCTATATTATCTTTCTTACACAGACTAAATCAATAACTCACCATCCAGTATTTCCAGTTTTTGTTTCTTAAAAGTGTCCAGGGAGCTTGGCATTTAGATTGTTAAAAAGAATTCAATTCCTTCTAGAGCTTTACAATTTGCTTTCAGTCTTTTACTATTGTTTCTCCCACACCTAATATAAATAGCTGGATTTTCTTCCCTCCTTTTTTGTGCTTTTATTTAGCTTCTCCAAAGCATTCATCTTATTTAACTGAGTTGTTGGAGAAACACCAAGTTTGTCTTGTCCTCCCGTTTAATCAATTAACATAATATATAGTTGAATTATTTAATGATGATAACACACGTTCTGAACAGAAGGGAGTAGAAGTAGACAGGCACAGCCAACAGGCTTCCTGGAGGCATTGGATGTGCCATGGGCATTTTTCAGTGTCTGTTAAAGAGGGAGAGGTGACTGTTTCCAGGAAGTCCTTGGACTTACATCTGCACATGTTCCAAACTCACCTCACTTAATGCAGTCTTGTTCAATTACTTACTACCTTTATGTGATTGGCAGAACACCTGCTGTCTGCCTTGTTAACCCTGGCATTTTTTTTTTTTTTGTCTGTCACATTGGCTTTGCAGCCTTCTTGCTAAAACAAAACAAAAAACAAAACAGAAAAAACCCCTCCACTCTGTCCAGCTATATTCTTTCTCATATAGAGCACTGTTGAGGAGGATTATGTAATCTATGCTTTTGGCAAGAAGAAATATTTCATGATAGAAGTCTGAACTGGAAAATGGTCCTTGAAGGCTAGTAAGTGCCCTGGTTCCTTCTGTGTAATGTAGTTTCCTTTACGTGTGCTTTGTCTAGGGCTCCACTTCTAGGAGACCAACCCCTTTGGAGATGGGGGTTTATGGACAAGAATGAAGCTTGTCCCATAAGGAAGAAAACCGTAAGGAAGTGTGGGAAGCAGGATGGGGCAGAGATAGAAGCTAAGCAAGGATGGGGCTTTAGGTGAAGTCTCAACCTCATTTCCATGGTGGGGCTCTGGACCACAGAATGTCTCTTGACTTGAAGCCACCACTGGGGCGCAGAGTAGGGAAGGAGTGTAACTGCCAGAACCATAGCTTCCATCACCTAAGGACAAGCCTCTGAACAAGGCTACAGTGATGTGAGCAGGTAGCACTAACTGAGCAATGTGTGCTTGAGAATGAATGGATAAAAGTGATTGCAGGGGATCTGAACAGGTGATTAATGGTCTGCTAACATACAAAATAGCAAATATTAAATATGTGGCATTTTTGAAACAGCTACTATTATTCGGCCCAATTTATGACCTCCCTAGATTTTCTTGGCCTCACCTGTTTCCTGGGCTTTTAACTGGTTGGACAAAGACAGCTCCTTCCCCAATGCCACTGCCACATTTCCAAACCTCAGCAGCTGACCCTGCCTCCCCTGGGGAGGCCAACTTCAGCATGTCCTCCATTGTACCCTGCACAGTGGAAGCTGCAACAGCTACAGGATCCAGACATGACCCAAGGAGATCCCAGAGGCTGCAGTTTCCCTTGCCCCATATTTCCGGGTTCAGAGTGTCATCCTGGGAGACATGACGTCTGGCTTCCTTAGTGGCTGTCCTGAGGGGCCAGGTGCACAACCAGAAAGAGCATGAGAGTTCAAGCCCCATGGGGTAAACTTTGACCAGTGGAGAAAACCTATAGATAAGTTCCTTTTGTTCTCCTCCTCCGATGGATTGTTCTGAGGTGCTGTGTTTCTGCAGAGGATGCCTGGAGAGCGTCCCCTGTGACTGAGCAAGTGGCTCTGTGTTCTAAAGCTATGGCCCACAGGGCAACCACTACCTCATATCTGCTCTTCCTCCTTCCTTGTTTCACTCCCCTTCTCCTTCACTCTTGCTGCTCTGTAGCTGCACCTTTTCACCTCCCCCAAAATGTGTTAGCACATGCTTTTAACCTGGGTTCCAAACAAACCAAGAGCTACTCCCTACACCCGCACCCCACCCCCAAAACGAGCTTGAAGCGAAGACAGTACCTCTAGAGATTCAAAATTTCAACCCAATATATGAATCCTCAAGTGGAGGATTTTCATCGTAAAACAACAGGGGAGATTTTTTTGAGTAAGGAGAAGGTAATCCTAAAATTGTTCTTTTTTCTGTCTAAACAAAGTCAATCCTATTAAAATCTAAGTGGATGCTGAGGAGAAATCCCTAGGATGCTACAGAGTTTTCCTTTGTTATGACTTCTTTCACAGATTGCCTCAGTGCCCTGAGCACTGTGGAGAGGCACTGAATTTAAAAACAATGCAGAGGAGAAAGGAGCACCCTGGAAGCCACTTTTCCTGAAGGAATTCATGACGTGAACCGGCATGATTCAAGTGATGTGAAACATTCTTGTTTGTTGAACAAGAAAACTGACCTTCTCTGTGCAGCTGGTCATATCTGGGCCAGCAGTTACGAGGCCAGGACTAGTCTTGACTGTTACTAATGTGCAGACTAGAGAATCTGACCTGAACACAAGTGAAGTTTGTCATTGTCCCAATTAGTGCTGATGGCCTCAGTCAGTGTGGTCTGTAGCTATTAAGATGAGTATAGGAGTAGCTGTTCTGTTCTCTTTATTTTATGTTGTAGAATGGCCTCAATTTTTTCTTCTGTCTGGTTAGTCTCAGCATCTGGATTTCTTTTTGCCATGTTTCATTACAGAGGCTGCTTCTCTTTGCCTTTCTCCCCCACATCTGGAATCCAGCCAAAATGTACCAGAACAAGATGCTTTCTAACATTTGAGCCCTTTTGTGAAGGGTGCTGATTGCAACTTGGGTAGTTTCAGTTTAATCCAAGGTGGAAGATTTCTGCTGCTTTTAGGGAAGAAAATAAGTGTCTAAAAATAAAACTTAGGCATGAAAATAGGGCCAAATACTCATTAACTGCCTCACTTAGCTGAATGCTGAAATTATTTCAAAAGCGTTAAATCAAGCATTTGTGTAGAAGAGGTTGAGTCTGTTTTTTTATTCACAGTACTTTATCTTAGATGATAAACGGGTGACTGTAATTTCTCATTTTATCCAAAAGACATGAATTAACTAGTTTTCAGGGGCCTAATTTTCAGCTCATGCTGACCCTTGAATGGGAGCCCTTGTGTTCACAAGCCTTTTGGAATGTATGCTGTGGGCGAGTCAGGGTATCCATCCAAAGCTTGATAGGCGAGGGTTAAGAATTCGATCCGAGTGTGGCTGGAAGTCTCTGAAGGGATTTAAATAGGAGGCTGTTGTAGACTCATTTATATTTTTAAGGTGCGACCTCGGATGCTGTGTTGACAGTGGATTATAAGGAGGCAAAGGTAGAACAGTGGTATCCATCCAGATAACTATTTTCGATATCCAGGTAAGAGATGTTAGTGGCTTTGGAGTAGAATGGTAATGGTAGAGTTGGAGAGAAGTGCACAAATAATGGAGTTTTGTTGGTCCATCAACAAGAGACTGGTTAATGGATTAGATATGGGACATGAGGGAAAGGAAGAATCAAGGTTGATTTCTAAGTTTCTGGACTAAAGAGCCTGGAGGATATTGAGATAAAGACTGGAGGAGAAATAGGGTAATTTTTATGGTCTTGTTCAGGGTGGAGAACAATGGTAAAGGGAATGAGGTATAAATCAAGGGATCCTGTTTGTTGTGTGATGCCTTTAAGGCATCTAAATGAACAGGTCAAATGGGCAATTGAATATATGACGTTGACTCAGCAGATAAATTTAAGAATCCTTGGTGTACAGATGTCACTCAGAGCCATGGAATACAGGGATTTGTAAGCAGCTCTTTGCAGGAAACCACACTTAGCAGGAAACACCTTTGTCTTGTCACTTTAGCAGAGCTATATTGTAACTAATCTTAAACCAGACACCCCCATGCTCTACTCATCTCCAGCCCAAGCACACCTATCAAGTCTTTGGATCACACAATACCTTGCCTAACCTGTTGGTTCTTTCCGTAGATCAAAGAAGTAGAAATGAAGGATAAGTAATTAACAGATGACCAGATCTCTTCCCTAGCTTCCCCTTCAGTAATCTTGTGAACAAACTCTGTTAACAAGACAGCATCTAAAGAAAGATTACAAGAAGTCGAAAAGCCTGCACACAAGCCTGTACACAGTCGGGGATGGTGACGACTCTGACCCCCTATCTCAATGATTCACTGAAATTACTTCCCTTTAAAAATTTTCACAGCCAAGCAGAATCTTGGGAGTTGGTTTTGTGGGGACATGAGACTGCCTTCTTACCAGATTTCTGGCTTTCTGATTAAAAGCAGCTTTCCTTTCTATCAACACTTGTGTTTCTCTCAGGTATTGATTTTCAAGCAGCAATCAGCCGGACCTGAGTTCAGTAACAGGCTTATCTAGGGAGAGAGTACCATGAAAGTATAAGTCCTGAGAACTTTCTATACTTTCACATAAATAGGGCAAGCAAAGGAGGAGGTCCAGTAAAGGACTAAGGAGGAGCAGCAATGAGGAAGGAAAAACTAGGAGAATGTGGTGGCCCAGAAATAAAGAGAAGAATCCTCCATAAAAAGGACAAGAGCCAATTGTGTTGAATGCTGCTGTGAGATTGAATAAGATAGGGACGAATTGTATCCACCATTTTTGGCAACATAGAACTTCTTGGTGTTACTGACAAAGGGTAGTTTATGACATGTCATGTAAGCAGGGGCCTGGAGTGGATTGGGGGGAAACTGTAAGGGGGAAATGGGGGTGGCTATTTAGACAATTATTTCACGAAGTTAATAGAGCTGAGAAATAGGTATATAGTTAATCCAGAGTCAGAGGAGAACGCTGTTTTTTCTCATGTTCTTTTTTTTAAATATTTATTTATTTATTTGGCTGTATTGGGTCTTAGTTGCAGCACGTGGGATCTTTGTTGCGACATGTGGGATCTTTCGTTGCGGCTCGTGGGCTCCTCTCTAGTTGTGGCACACAGGTGCCAGAGCGCTCAGGCTTAGCAGTTGTGACGCGTGGGCTTAGTTGCCCCATAGCATGTGGAATCTTAGTTCCCTGACCAGGGATCGAACCCGTGTCCCCTGCATTGGAAGGCAGATTCTTAACCACTGGACCACCAGAGAAGTTCCTCTCATGTTCTTAAGATGGGACAGGGCTTCCCTGGTGTCACAGTGGTTGAGAGTCCGCCTGCCGATGCAGGGGACACGGGTTCGTGCCCTGGTCTGGGAATATCCCACATGCCGCAGAGCGGCTGGGCCCGTGAGCCATGGCCGCTGAGCCTGCGTGTCCGGAGTCTGTGCTCCTCAACAGGAGAGGCCACAACAGTGAGAGGCCCGCGTACAGGAAAAAAAAAAAAAAAAGAAGATGGGACAAATTGAAATATTTTGCTCATGGGATGGATCTAGTAGAGAGAAAGAACCTAATCATAGAGTAGAGAAGGGATGTAATTACAGGGACAGATTTCTTGAATATAAAAAATGATGTGCGATGCAGAGCAAAAGTGAAGGATTTGGATTTGGGTAAGAGGAGAAGGGGAGGCAGAAAGAGTGGACAGGTGTTAATGGGTTGGTTAAATTGGTGGTAGGGGGATGAGGGAGCATCCCTAGTTAATTTTAATGAATTAATGAATCAAGAACATTAGCTAAAAGGAGGATGGGAAAAGGGGATATTGGAAATTTCAAGAAAAGGTAGAAAATATTGCAGTCATCATGGAGAATGGGAAGTTGAACCTGTAGTACAAAAGTGGAAATGGAATGCTCCAGAGTTACATTAAACAAGGTGGAGTTAGTTTTTGCTTGAAAGAGATTGATTAAATCTTAAATTGTTTTTTAATAGCCTATAAAGGTAAAATGTATTATTACATATTTACATATATTCATAGTAGAAAATGAATTTAATGATTACTTTTAATCTTACTATTCAAGAGATAAGCCTTGTGATATATATCTTTTCATATATTATACAAGCAAATACAACTATAAGAAAAAATATAAAGGTCTTATTTTCATAACTACTACTCTTTTACAAGTTTTTACTTTGCCAAGCACTTTATTTTATTTTTGTTTTATGTTACATTATTTTAATACTATGTTGGTTCCTATTACACGAGAGTGATTTAATATTTCTATATATTTCAAAATAACCACCATGGGAAGTCTAGTTATGATCTGCCACATTACAAAGATATTACATAATTATGTACTCTATTTCCCCCACACTGTACATTTCATACCATGACTCAATTATTTTGCAATAGGAAGTGTGTGCCTTTTAATCTCCCTCATGCATGTCTTTTCTTCCCCCTACTCCCTTCACCTGTGGCAACAACCTGTTTGTTCTCTGTGTCTATAACTCATGCTATTTTGTTATGTTCATTTGTTTTGATTTTTAGATTCCACATATGAGGGAAATCATACAGTATCTATATTTCTCTGTCAGACTTATTTCCATTAGCAAAATACCCTCTAGTTCCATCCATGTTGCCACAAATGGCAAGATTTCATCCTTTTTATGGCTGAATAATATTCCACTGTATATGTGTATCAAAACTTCTTTATCCATTCATCTATTGATGGGCACTTATGTTGTTTGCCTATTGGCTATTATAAATAATGTTGCAATAAACATAGGGGTCCATATATCTTTTCTAAGTGGTGTTTTCATTTTCTTTTTATTTAGTTATTTAGTTAGTTGCACCAGGTTGTAGTTGCAGAAGGCGGGCTCCTTAGTTGCAGCTCGTGGGCTCCTTAGTTGTGGCATGCGAACTCTTAGTTGCAGCATGCATGTGGGATCTAGTTCCCTGACCAGGGATTGAACCTGGACCCCCTGCATTGGGAGCACGGAGTCTCATCCACTGCACCACCAGGGAAGTCTCTGGTGTTTTCATTTTCTTCAGATGAATACCTAGGAGTGGAATTTCTGGATCATATGATAGTTGTACTCTTAATTTTTTGAGGAATCTTCATACTGTTTTTCACAGTGGCTACATCAGTTTCCATTCCCACCAACAGTGCACAAGTGTTCCCTTTTCTCCACATCTTTGCCAACACTTGTTGTTTGTTGTCTTTTTAAATTCTTTTTTAAATTGAGGTATAGTTGATGTACAATATTATACAACTTTCAGGTGATTCACAATTTTTAAAGGTTCTGCTCCATTTATAGTTGTTATAAAATACTAGCTCTATTCACTCTGTTGTACAATATATCCTTGTAACTTATTTATTTTATACATAGTAGTTTGTTCCTCTTAATCCCAAGCTCTATCTTGCCCCTCACCCCTTCCCTCTCTCCACTGGTAACCACTAGTTTGTTCTCTATATCTGTGAGTATGTTTCTTTTTTGTTATATTCAGTAGTTTGCTTTATTTTTAAGATTCCACCTAAAGTGAAATCATACAGTATTTATCTCTCTTTGTCTGACTTATTTCACTTAGCATTATACCCTCCAGGTCGAACCATGTTGTTAAAAATGGCAAAATTTCATTCTTTTTTATGGCTGAGTGGTATTTCATTGCATATATATACCACATCTTCTTTATCCATTCATCTGTTGATGGACACTTAGGTTGCTCCCATATCTTGGCAACTGTAAATAATACTGCTATGAACACTGGTGTACATGCATCTTTTCAAATTAATATTTTTGGTTTTTTCGGATATATACCCAGGAGTGGAATCGACGGGTCATATGGTAGTTTTATTTTTAGTTTTTTGAGAAATCTCCACACTGTTTTCACAGAGGCTGTACCAATCTACATTCCTACCAACAGTGTAGGAGGGTTCCCTTTTCTCCACATCCCCACCTACATTTGTTATTTGTGTTCTTTTTGATGATAGCCATTCTGACAGATGTGAGGTGATAGCTCATTGTGGCTTTGATTTGCATGTCCCTGATGATTAGCAATGATGAGCATCTTTTCATATGCCTTTTGGCCATCTGCATTTCCTCTTTGGAAAAGTGTCTATTCAGTTCTTCTTCCCATTTGTTAATTGGGTTGTTTGTTTTTTTGATGTTGAGTTTTATGTGCTGTTTATATATTTTGGATATTATCCACTTATCTGTCATATCACTTGCAAATACTTTCTCCCATTTGGTAGGTTGTCTTTTCATTTTGTTGATGGTTTCCTTTGCTGTGCAAAAATTTTTAAGTTTAATTAGGTCCCATATGTTTATTTTTGCATTTATTTCCTTTGCTTTAGGAGACAGATCCAAAAACATATTGCTATGATTTATGTCAGAGTGTTCTACCTATTTTTTCTTCTATAAGTTTTATGATTTCTGGCCTTACATTTAAGTCTTTAATCCATTTTGAGTTTATTTTTATTTATGGCATTAGAGAATATTCTAATTTCATTCCTTTACATGTAGCTGTCTAGTTTTCCCAATTTTATTAAAGATTCTGTCTTTTCTCCATTGTTTATTCTTTCCTCCTTTGTCATAGATTAATTGACCATAAGTGTGTAGGTTTGTTTCTGTGCTTTCTATCTGTTCCATTGATCTATGTGTCTGATTTTGTGCCAGTACCATACTGTTTTTGATAACTGAAGCTTTGTAGTATCGTCTGAAGTCAGGGAGCATGATGTCTCCAGCTCTGTTCTTCCTCAAGATTGTCTTGGCTAGTCAGAGTCTTTTGTGTTTCCATACAAATTTTAAAATTATGTGTTCTAGTTCTGTGAAAAATGTCCTCGGTATTTTGACAGGGATTGCATTGAATCTGTGGATTGCCTTGGGTGGTATGGTCATTTTAACAATATTCTTCCAATCCATGAACACAGTATATCCTTCTCTCTGTTTATGTCATCTTCAATTTCTTTCATCAGTGTCTTATAGTTTTCCAAGTACAGGTCTTTTACCTCCCTGCGTAGGTTTGTTCCTGAGTATTTTATTCTTTAATGCAATGGTAAATGGGATTGTTTCCTTAATTTATCTTTCTGATAGTTCATTGTTAGTGTATACAAATTCAACAGATTTCTGAATATTAATTTTGTATCCAGCAACTTTGCCAAATTCATTGATGAGCTTTAGTAGTTTTCTGGTTGCATCTTTAGGATTTCTATGTATAGTATCAGGTCATCAGCAAACAGTGACAGTTTTACTTCTTCCTTTACAATTTGGATTTCTTTGTCTTGGCTGATTGTTGTGGCTATAATTTCCAATACTATGTTGAATAAAAGTGGTGAGAGTGGGCATTCTGATCTTAAAGGAAATGCTTTCAGCTTTTCACTGTTGAGTATGATATTAACTGTGGGCTTGTCATATATGACCTTTATTATGTTGAGGTATGTTCCCTTTATGCTCACTTTCTGGAGAGTTTTTATCATAAATGGATTTTGAATTTTGTCAAAAGCTTTTTCTGCATCTATTGAGATGATCATATAGTTTTTATTCTTCAAATTATTAATATGGTATACCACATTGATTTGTGGATATTGAAAAATCCTTGCATCCCTGGGATAAATCCCATTTGATCATGGTGCATGATCCTTTTAGTGTATTGTTAGATTTGGTTTGCTAATATTTTGTTGAGGATTTTTGCAAGTATGTTCACCAGTGATATTGGCCTGTAATCTCCTTTATTGTGATATCTGTGACTGGTTTTGGTATCAGGGTGATGCTGGCCTCATAGAATAAGTTTAGAAGCATTTGTTCCTCTGCAGTTTTTTGGAATAATTTGAGAAGGATAGGTGTTAACTCTCCTCTAAATGTTTGGTTGAATTCACCTGTGAAGCCATCTGATCCTGGACTTTTATTTTTGGGGAGTTTTAAAATTACTGATTAAATTTTATTACTGGCAATAGGTATGTTCATATTTTCTTTCTTCTTGGTTCAGTCTTGGAAGATTGTACATTTCTAGGCATTTGTTCATTTATTCTAGGTTGTCCATTTTATTGACATTTAGTTGTCCACAGTAGTCTTTTATGATCCTTTGTGTCTCTGTGGTATTGATTATATCTTCTCCTCTTTCATATCTGTTTTTAATGATTTGGGCCCTCTCTTTTTTTTTCTTGATAAGTCTGGCTAAAGGTTTATCAATTTTGTTTATCTTTTCAAAGAACCAGCTCTTGGTTTCACTGATCTTTTCCATAGTTTTTTTAGTCTATTTCATTTATTTTTATTCCAATCTTTATGATTTCTTTCCTTCTACTAAATTTGAATTTTATTCTTTCTCTAGTTGCTTTAGGAGTAAGGTTAGATTGATTATTTGAGATTTTTCTTGTTTCCTGATGTAGGCTCGTATCACTATAAACTTACTCTTTTAACTGCTTTTGCTGTGTTCAATAGATTTTGGATCTCTGGTTTTTCATTTTCATTTGTCTCCAGGTATTTTTTTAATTTCCTCCTTGATTTCTTCAGTGATCCATTGGTTGTTTAGCAGCATATTGTTTAGCCTCCACATGTTTGCTTTTTCAGTTTTTTTTTTTTTTTCTTGTAGTTGATTTCTAGTCTCATAGCATTGTGGTAAGAAAAGATGCTTGATATGATTTCAATTTTTCAAAATTTACTGAATCTTGTTTTATGTCCTAGCATGTGATCTATCCTGGATAATGTTCCATTTGAACTTGAAAAATCTGTATAATCTGCTGCTTTTGGATGGAATGTTCTATATATATCTCTTAAGTTCATTTGGTCTAATATGTTTTCTTATTGATTTTCTGTCTGGATGATCTATGCATTGAAGTAAGTGGGGTGTTAAAATCTCCTACAGTTATATTACTGTCAGTATTTCTCTTTATGTCTGTTAATATTTCCTTTATCTGTTTAGATGTTCCTGTGTTGGTACGTATATATTTACAGTTGTTATATCTTCTTTGATTGATCTCTTGATCACTATGTAATATCCTTCTTTGTCTCTTGTAACAATCTTTATTTTAAAGTCTATTTTGCCTGATAGAAGTATTGCTACCCTGCTTTATTTGATTTTCATTTGCATGGAATACTTTTTCCACCCCCTCACTTTTGGTCTGTGTGTGTCTTTAGATCTGAAGTGATTCTCTTGTAGGCAGCAAATATACAGGTCTTATTTTTGTATCCATTCAGCTACTCTGTGTCTTTTGACTGGAGCATTTAGTCCATTTACATTTAAAGTAATTGTTGATATGTATGTTTTTATTGCCATTTTGTAATTGTTTTGGTGTTGTTTTTGGTTCCTTTCTTCTTTTGCTGTTGTCCTTTGTTATTTGATGAGTATCTTTAGTATTATGTTTGGATTCATTTCCCTTTTGTGTGTGTTTATACATTATAGATTTTTGGTTTGTGGTTAACATGAGGTTTATATATAACAGCTTATATATGTATCCATGATCATTTAAAGTTGCTGATCTCTTAAGTTTGAACACTTTTTTTAAAATATAAATTTATTTATTTGTTTTTGGCTGCATTGGGTCTCCATACAAATTAAAAAATTTTTTTCTTTTTTTAAATTAATTAATTTCTTGGCTGCATTGGGTCTTTGTTGCTGCACGTGGGCTTTCTCTAGTCACAGCGAGCAGGGGCTACTCTTTGTGGTGGTGCGCAGGCTTCTCATTGCAGTGGCTTCTCTTGTTGTGGAACACAGCTTCTAGGCACGCAGGCTTCAGTAGTTGCGGCACGCAGGCTTCAGTAGTTGCAGCACGCAGGCTCAGTAGTTGTGGCGCATGGGCTTAGTTGCTCCACGGCATGTGGGATCTTCCCGGACCAGAGCTCGAGCCCATGTCCCCTGCATTGGCAGGTGGATTCTTAACCACTGCACCACCAGGGAAGCCCTGAACACATTTTAACAACTGTAGCAACCTTGCATTTTTATGCCCTCCTCCATGTTTACTGTTTTAGCATAATATTTTACATATTTTGTGTATCCCTTAACTATTCATTGTGGATATAATTTTACTACTTTTGTCTTTTAGTCTTCCTCCTAGCTTTATATGTGGTTGATTTACTACCTTTACTGTTTACTTGCCTTTTTGAGGTTTTTCCTTTTGTAATCTTCATACATGACCTTTTCTTTGTGCTTGGTGAAGTCCCTTTAACATTTCTTATAAAGTTGGTTTTGTGCAGCTGAGCAATTTTGCTTTTGCTTGTCTGTAAAACTTTTGCTCTCTGCTTCAGATCTGAATGATAGCCTTCCCTGGTTGAGTATTCTTAGTTGTAGATTTTTCCCTTTCATCACTTTAAATATATCACGCCACTCCCTTCTGGCCTGCAGAGTTTCTGCTGAAAAGTCAACTGATAGCCTTATGGGAGCTCCTTTGTACATCACTTGTTGCTTTTCACTCACTGCTTTTAATATTCTTTATCTTTAAATTTTACTTTTTTTTTTTTTTTTTTTTTGTGGTACATGGGCCTCTCACCGCTGTGGCCTCTCCCATTGTGGAGCACAGGCTCCAGACGTGCAGGCTCAGCGGCCATGGCTCACAGGTCTAGCCACTCCATGGCATGTGGGATCTTCCTGGACTGGGGCACGAACCCGTGTCCCCTGCATCGGCAGGCGGACTCTCAACCATTGCGCCACCAGCGAAGCCCTAAATTTTACCACTTTAATTGCAGTGTGTCTAGGTGTGTTCTTCTTTGCGTTGATCCTGTTTGGGACTCTGTGCTTCCTGGACCTGGATGTCTGTTTGCTTTCCCAGGTTAGGGAAGTTTTCAGCTATTATGTCTTCAGATATGTTCTCTGTCCCTTTCTCTCTCTCTTCACTTTTTGGTACCCCTATAATGTGAATATTAGTGCATGTGATATCCTGGATGTCTTTTAAACTGTCCTCATTTCTTTTTATTCTGTTTTTTCTATTCAGCTTCAGTGATTTCCACTACCGTTTTCCAGTTCACTGACCTGTTTCTCTGTATCATCTAATCTATTGATTCCTTCTAGTGTACTTTTCATTTCCATTATTGTATTCTTCGTCTCTATTTGTCTTCTAACTCTTTGTCAAAAACTTCTAACTTTTCACTCTCTTCATCCATTCTTCTCCCAAGTTCTTTGAGCATCTTTATAATCATTCCCTTGAATTCTTTATTGGGTGGATTGCTTACCTCCACTTCACTTAGTTTTCTTCTGGGGTTTTATCTTGTTCCTTTGTTCAGAACGTACTCATTTGCTGCCTTAATTTGCCATTTTTATTTCTATGTACTTGGTAGGTTATATTTCCTGACTTTGGAGATGTGGCCTCTTATGGGAGGCATCCTGTGTGTCCCATCAGTGCTGTCCCCTCTGGTCACCAGAGCTGTATGCTCTAGTGGTTCTCCCTTGTGGGCTGCATGTGCCCTTCTATTGTGGTGGGCTGACTACTGTGGGTGGTCTGGTAGGTGTGGCTGGCCCCTGGTCCTGCTGGTTGCCAGGTCTTGTGTTGTGTAGGGGCTGCCAGCCACTGGTGGGTGGGCCTACATCATGTGGTGGCTGGCTACAGAGCCCCAGGGGGCCCTGGGGCTAGTTGTAGCCCATTGGTGAGCAGAGCTGGGTTCTGGGTGGGTGGTTGCTCAGCCAGGGGTCC